TGAACAAGAAAAAATGAGATCGCACGCACTTGGTCTACGCAAAAGGAACAAAGGAACGCAGTCTTCACAATATCACAAGTTTAACCTTAACACTGGTATTTAATCCTAACACACGGTATATTGGCACAGCGAAAAGAAAAGAACGTTATCACGGCTTGTGTGGAGGTCGCAATACAAAACAAACCAAAAGAGAAAAGGATTATTCCACACAAGCAAGGTCGAGCACGTGCGTACCTGTGTACGAACACGTGTACAGATTAGGCACAATGTTAAGACTGTGCACATAGGTGATCACGCAGGAGCACGTGATCGAGACCGCGCCGATGTACCGTGTGCGCGCGTAGATCTGTCCGCGGCACGTGGACAGCTCGTGTTACTGCCCGGGTATGCACGGCGCAATCATACTTTTTGAGCGAGCAGGAAATCTGCGTAGCGAGACACGAAATACCGTAACTGCTAATGCGCACGTGTGACTGACGTTGCAAGAACACGCACGCGCAACGCTGTTACAATGGCGCGCTTAATGATGCAACACAGCAATATTTCCGCGCGGTTACACTACACGAGGTTCTCTTGGCACAACCCTTTACAAAGGTTTACGCCACTGCGTCCTTGTGAATAAATGCACGATTTATCTCACTAAATCCCGGCACGAGAGAGAGAGGACCACACATGTGTCGCAATAACAAACCGGCATGCACCTCACGAAGGACACCGTGACCCGTAGGATGGCAAGTCCAGACAAAGAATAACGTGTAATAATCTCTAGCGTGAGAGAAAAACGGCCTCTGCTTCTCTCGACCTGATGTGACAGACTGTAGAGAAAAAACCGTCTCTAGCGCTTACGGCGCGATCGCAAAAGCTTGGCGCGGCAGTAGTTTCTGCTTTCGTCTATCAGCGCGTGGCAGCTGCTGCACAGGTGTGTATGCATGCGCGTGTGCGCCTAGCGTTAGCTGGGGCGCCACATATCTACTATATCTCGCGTGATCATTTACATATCTTCTTTAATTAATATCATAGATTTACATATCTTCTTTAATTAATATCTTGATAATTATTGCAAATATCGCAACGTTTATGTTTATTTTAATATGTCTGTGTTATGTCTCCACGAGAACTTCGAAGGTTATTCTGCAATACCCTGTATAACATACGCGTTATATTATATTTATATATTTGAGTGGAAAATTAGAATTAACAGTTATATAATTGTTACTTTGTATTTGCTGGGCTGTATCATAATTAGAATTTATACATTTTTTCATAAATATATATCTCGATATAATAAAGAAAATATAAAAACATAAAATATAAAAGAATATAATTAAACTAACCTCATATTATTATATTTTTATATTATATATTATATATTATATTATATATTTAATATTTTTATAAATTGCTAATTTGTAATCTAAGAATATAATTGTGATTCTTATTTAATTTTATATAATCCATTTTCAATTTTTGATTCCTCTTTTCTTTTATAGAATAGAAAATTGATGGTATTTTAGTAATTTTTATTATTTCACCTGGAAAAGAAAAGTTACTTGGTAAACACCAAACAACAATAATATTACGTCAATATTGTAATTCTCCACTCAACAATATAACTCTTATGTACACTCAGAGGCAGGTATGGTGTCTCTCGGCGGGCCCGTATACGCCTGTCAAACAGTTTAAAGCGACAACAGGCATATACGGAGAGCGTACTGTACGTCTAAAGGCCAAATGACACTAGCGATTGACGATTGACAATTAATGATTAGATTTTAACGAATCAACAAGTTTCAGCCTTGGCTTACTATGTTCCAATTAGTCAAGTTCCCATCTTGAATCGTCAATCATCTATCGTCAATCGTTAGTATGTTTGACCTTTATGTACAACGCGAGAGAAGCGAAGAAAGAACGTAGAGGAAATGGTGGGAAACATTCCGATGTTGCATCCTTATCGCACGTCGTCCGATCGAGAGAGAAAATATCAGCAGACGTTACCAATTGTTAGTGGTGTCTTCAATAGCTGTCTCACTCACTCAACGCTTGAATGCAGAGAATATGAGCGAGACAGCTAGAAGGACACCGCGTTGTCTCTATAGGTATCTCGCTCGCTCTAATATATTGTTATTGTCGTTCAATAATTATCACTGGCCAAATTATTACTTATCAGTATTACATTTCTATAAGGATCAGCGGGCAAAAATACATCGAAAATGACTATTCACATTCGTACAACAACAAAAAAGTCAAATTTTATCGTTCGGTGTCATTCATCGGCACAACGTGCATTTCTGCTAAGGAGAAAAGAGGAAAGCGTGATACATGGATATTAGAGCGAGCGAGACACTTATAGAGACAGCGCGGTGTCCCTATGCTGTTTCGTTCATATTCTCTGCATTCAAGTGTTGAGTGAGTGAGACAGCTATTGAGGCACCACTAACAACTGGTAATGTCTGCTGATGTTTTTTCTCTCGATCAGACGACGTGCGATAAGGATGCAACATTGGAATGTCTTCTATCACTTCCTCTACGTTCTTTTTTCTTTTCTCTTGCATTGTACGTAAGACGTACAGTCCGTATATGTCTGTTGTCGCTTTTGATTATTTGACAGGTGTATACGGGCCCGCCGAGGGACACCATACCTGCCTCTGAGTGTACATGTGTATTATTGCTATTATATAAGCATATACAGGATGTCCTAAAAGTCTGGAAATGGTCGAATATCTCAGAAACAGTACATTTGAGAAAAAAATACTTTAGGCAAACATTGTAAAGTTTAAAAAGTTGTATTTAATGGTAATACCTATTTGACCTAGAGTGATATTATTAAAGTCAGGTCACATTAGTTTTCATTTTTTTAATCAAATCTCCTATTTTTTATTGCATATTCTTGTAGCTTAGTTCGGAAGCTTTCCAAAACACTCTAATTAACAAGCTTTCCAAAACACTCTAATTAAATATTTTTTTGTTAGATACTTTTTGAGTTATAAGGCCTGAAAGTGATAGTATCGTCGGCGTTAGCATTATCCGAAATATGAGGTGAAGTAAAAAGTTCTGAGCGTTTTTTCGCTTTATTTCGACGATGAAATTAACATAGTTAGGATTATCCGATTTCGATCAAATATGCGCCGTTTTGTTCGATAACTTTTGTCCATTTTGAAGGCAATTTCATAATTCCGCGATTGAAGAAGTCCTCGTCCCTATTGGTAAAAAACTTGACCAGCTCATTTTCACAAGCCTCTCTTGAGGCCAGTTTTGTACCATCAAGAAAATTTTGCAAATGCTTGAAAAGGTGATAATCGCTTGGTGCCAAGTCTGGACTATACGGCGGGTGCAATAGAACCTCCCATCCAAGCTCTCGGAGCTTCTGGCGCGTCGTTAATGATGTGTGCGGCCTGGCGTTGTCTTGATGGAACACAACACTCTTCCTATTGGCCAATTCTGGCCGCTTCTGGTCGATCGCCTGCTTCAATCTGGTCAGTTGTTGACAGTAGAGGTCCGAATTGAGTGTTTGGCCCGATGGGAGCAGCTCATAGTGGATGATTCCTTTCCAATCTCATCAAACACACAGCAAAACCTTCTTGGCCGTTAATCCGGGCTTGGCGATCGTTTGGGCCGGCTCACCGCGATTGGACCACGATCTTTTTCGGCTGTTGTTCTCGTATGTGACCCATTTTTCATCACCAGTCACCATCCGCTTCAAAAATGGGTCGATTTCGTTACGTTTCAGCAAAGAATCGCAGGCATCAATTCGGTCCAAAAGGTTCTTTTGCGTCAATTCGTGTGGCACCCATACATCGAGCTTCTTCTTGAGACCAGCCTTATGCAAATGGTTCCAAACGGTTTTCTGGCTAATCTTCAGTTCCTGGGCAATGGAATAAGTGCTCACATGCCGGTCCGACTCGACGATTTCCATGATTTTATCGACATTTTCGACGATTGGCCTACCAGAGCGTGCCTCATCTTCGACGTCCATATTACCAGAACGGAATCGTTGGAACCACCGCTTTGCTGTTGCATTCGATACTGTATTGGGTCCATAAACAGCACAAATTTTTTTGGCCGCCTGCTCCGCCTTTTCACCTTGGTCGTAGTGGTACTGAAGAATGTATCGAATTTTCTCTTTTTTTACCTCCATTTTGGAACGCTGTAACACAACTGGCTTGACCAAACACAAAACTGTCAGAACTTTTTTTGAAGCGTAATGTCACCTTTAAATCGCCGTATAGTACCCGTATAGTAGACCCGATGCGATGTATACATCGTGAGATATGGCTCACTAAAGACATCTAGCAGAAAACGCTCAGAACTTTTACTTCACCTAATATACCGCATGGAGGTCGCACTGTCGAATTTACATTTCTTTTGAGTGTGTGTGTGTGCGCGCGCGCGTACGCGGATGTGGGTACTTGAGTTCAATAAGGAATTTTTTTGTACATTTTGATAGGCATATTACTTCCGTAAATGTTCAAAGTGTCTCTCTTCTATGACATGACAAATTTTTCACCATTTGATTATTTTTTGGGGATATGCAAAAAATAATGTCGATAAAATTAAATCTGGTGATTTGGAAAATCATAGGACGAGAATTCTGTAACACCAGAATAAACTTCAGGAATACTTTACGAATTCGTTGTAGTATCTGAGTTGTTAGTTTTAATATAGTTAGGATACTTTTTTCTCAATGCAACTTGGGATATAACAAATAATCTAATGAAAGGATTTGTTTTTGATTAATTCCTAGAAGTTAATTTTTGTTGTTTTTGAATTTATTTTCATTCATTATTAGTTGTTTTTTAAACTACATCAAGAAAAAATACTTCAAAACGTATTAAAATCAAATATGCATACCTAACTATAACAATAATAAATGGTATTGAAAAATTATATATATATATATTACTAACAAATTTTAAATATATTTAAATTATTTAATCTTTGTGTTTGAATATCTTTATGTTTGAATATCTTTGTGTTAATACATGCTTTTACTAAAACAATAGTGGAGCTACAACGGGTACAGGCGGTCGACTTAGGGACATCGAAGGAATAGGCCGTGGCGGAAATTACATTGCTGGCACGGCGGGATACAGCATCGGCAATTTATTGATTCCAGGTAGGATTTTCCTACAATTTATAGCCTAGGTGTATAAAGGGCGCACTGCTCCTAAAAAGTCGCTCGCTCGCTCAGCCGTCTCCTCCCATAATATGAGGAGCCTATTTTAGCTTGAGTGACGAGTAGTAAAAGTCTATGCAATAAAATGAACACATTACTACGATAAAATGAAGTTGGGATATCAAAATTTTCAAAATTGAGAGTCATTACACTGTGAATCTTGCGTACATAATACGTATACAAACGTACCAAAAAGTCTACTCTAAATTTTGTGTCAAAAATACTCATTCATATATTCATTCGTGTGTTATTTACATTATGTATAGGCTAGTACATAATATAAATAACACACAAATGAACATATAAATGAGTTATTTTTGACACAAAATTTAGAGTAGACTTTTTGGAACATTTGTTTACGTACTGTGTATGCAAGATTTTTTATAGTGTATCAACAGGTTTTTGCAATAATTATATTATTAATTATTATCACTTATTATTATTATTATTATTATTATTAATTATTATAACTTATTATTATTATTATTATTATTAATTATTATCACTTATTATTATTATTATTATTTTTCGAAAGGACCCAGCACTAATCATATGAAAAAAGTTATTTCAGTTAAATTAACTGAAACTATGATATTTTGTAGCTTATAAGATGCTGATCAAAAATCTTGAACAAAAAGTTTGAAAAAATAGACAACTTTTTTTCTAGCGCCATTAGAAAATTGCTATTTTAGGTGTAACCGAATCTACAGTACACAGATTACTTTTTTAACTGTATAGGCATTTATACATAATATAAATACGTGTGCCCATTATTGAATAGATTCATATTTCAATATATGTATGTGGTGCGGAAAGGGGGGGGGGGGTGTAACATGGGTGTGTATTGATATGTGTGTATTTGTATCGATAGTTATTCTATTAGTATGTCTGACATTATTAATATAAAAAATTGTGTGATGCGTGCGTGTGTGTGTGTGTTGGGCGGGTTAGGTTAGGTTACATACACGTACTGGCGGGCGTAAGACACCGCCTCCACCAGCGGCGGTAAAAGGTCCCGACCCGGATCCGAGGGGGAAAGTTCTGCCTGCACGGATCTGTTGGTCACCAACCTGGAATTATCCAGGGAGGACCACGGTGCAATGCTGAATATGTCAAGAGGAATGCCCTCGAGTACGTGTTGGGGGCGAGAATCATCTCCCCCGGCCGATATTCTTTTTCTACAGCGGCGCGGCTAGGCCCAGACCGCCTCTCTCCCGAGTCGCATTGGTAGGAGGAACGCACTCCCGTGCACCCCCTACATATATAAAACATGTCTCCAAATAATGTGTATTTGTTTTTTCCGTTATTTGTAAAACTGAAACTTTGAAGTCATGAAATAAAACAAATTCAACTTTTAACTTTTTAATTATATTTTTATTAATTATATTTAATTATATTTTTTTTCTTAACTTAACTTTTAATTCAATTAATTTCATTATGGATTAACTTTATCATAACTAAGTTAAATTTTCAAAGCCATTAACTTTAACTTAACTTAGTTAAAAAAAAGTTAATTTACCCAACCCTGGATATAACGTTATATATGATACAGATCTAATTATTACGCTTCCTATATAGCATATACATGGTGTTTCTTAACTTCTACCCATGAAGTACATAGCGTTATTCCTTACGAAAAATTGAATCGAAAAGTCCTAAACCATTTGTGTCTTTGACACTTAACGAAGCAGATATTCTTTAATAAATTCCAGCAAATCTGTGCCGTCCTTTAGAAGTATACACGTCAGTGAGCCGCGCGTCTGGTAGTGTGCATGAATGTTCCGCCGCTGCATTCACGAACACTACCAGGCGCGCAACTCACAAACGTCCCTTATAGAAATATCATACTAAGAAATACTGAAAAATTATTAGTGATTAAATATTACCAGTAATTCTGTAATTTTTTGGCCAGTACTTAATTTCTGGTGAATACTGATAATAAAATCACTGTTAAATATTGATAGTAATCAAATACTGAGAATTATTATGCGAAGGTGAAAAATGAGAAAATCATAATGTTTACAAAAATATACTTATATTCATAATTTTCTCATGTCTCATAAACACTAGATATCGAAGGTTGTCAAACACATTCCAAATTTTCATGAATCCTCCTGCGATAATTTCGATCCCAAGCGGATTATACCACTGGTCACCCACCCACCCATGTCCTGACCGCATTAAAACTGTTGCTTAACGTGACGATCGAGCGCGCACGCGGTGACTCTGATGACTCCAACGTTGTTCTTACAATTCATACTTATATAATGTATCCTTATAGTGTTCACAGTATATTATAACATACCTAGCAAACACCAAATAATAGTTATATAATTTTTACTTGTTGTTTATTGGATAATTTGTTGAGAGCTATTGAAACAATGCAACATTTGATATGCGATGAATATTGATGTAATGTAGTGAATCAGTGATAATTACTTTTACATTTTTAACAAAATGTTATAATGATTAATCCAACAAAAAAAGTTAAAAAATCCAAGAAAATCCAAATTAAACAAATCGAATTACTAAATTTTGAGAGAAACTTTTAAAAAATATTATTTAAAACAATAGTGTTGTTTCATCAAATGACATGGGTCCTTGAACGAAATAAAAGTTTTATTTTCATCATTTTAAAAAATGATATTTCGTTTGTCTTCACTGGTTGGATCATGTCCAGATCTTGCCTTGACCGGTTGGATCATGTCCAATTCTTGCCTTGACTAGTTGAATCGTGTAAGATAAGACGGAAAGTGAATACTTTACGAGATATTTTG